CTTCTGTTTTCCTCACATACACACCATGTGACACAGCTGTTGTAACATTCACCTGTTCCAACTCAAGGTCATACCGAGCTACAAGTGCCAACATGATTCTGATTGAGCAATGTTTAACCACCGGTGAAAAGATTTCCTTGAAATCTATCCCTTTCACCTGTGAGAATCCCCTAACAACCGATCTAGCCTTGTACCTAGGCTTCTCCACCCCGGGGATTCCCTCCTTCTTGAAGAGCCATCGACAACTCACCGTCTTCTTCCCACTTGGTCTCTTCACCAAGACACAAGTCCCATTCTTCTCCACTGAAGCTATCTCTTTCCCCATAGCTTCAATCCACTTCCGCCTTTCCTTCCCATTTGTTTCCTGGTAAGTGGCTAGCTCACCTTCTATCTCAAAAGAAACATTGAGTGCAAATGAAATCATATCAGCTTGTCCAAACCTTATAGGTGGTTTAATTAGCCCCGTGGTTCTACCTCTGACCAAATGGTAATCCCTCAGATCATCCTCTGATTCAGAACTCTCACTGTGATCAGATTCTTCCTGAGCATCTGTAGTCACAGCCTGTTCAACTGTGGTTTCTTTTGGAAACTCCACCTCGATCTGAGTACCATCACTTGAAGTTCCTTGAGTAGACTGATATTCAATCATCTTTGCCATCTTCGATTCATCAAAGACTACAACTCTACTCACATCACACTTCCCTTGACCAGGTTCCCGACACCATAACTTAAACCCTTTAACCCCGGTTGGATAACCAATAAAGGCATTTTTTAGGGCTCTTGGTTCTAGTTTATCACCTTTATGGGCATAGGCTAAACAACCAAAGACCTTCAAATTAATGAAATTAGCAGGCTTACCATACCATTTATCATTTGGAGTTTTGAAATCACTTGCTGTGGTGGGACTTCTGTTGTTGAGACATGCTGTTGTTGCCACAGCTTCTCCCCAGAACTTCTTACCACTAACCGTCTGACCAGACATATGGTAAATCCCATTGTTTCTGAATGCATTCATAACTACCACAGACCCCTTAGACACCTCAAGAATGCCATTGTCCCCACTGAACGTGTGGCCACTCTTGTCTAAGACTCCAAGAGATATCAAGTTCCTCTTGACATGAGGAACAAATCTCATTTCCGGTAGGACCCTCTCAATTCAATCAAACATCTTGATTCTTACCGAACCAACCCCTTTCACATTGCAAACATCATTATTCCCCAATAAGACTGTACCCCTCTCATTCACCTCGAGAGTTTCAAACCAGTCCTTATTTGATGTCATGTGAAAAGAACACCCTGAATCCAATATCCAATCCTCTGTTACATCACCTCCAGTGACAACAAGGACATCATAGGATTCAAAATCCTCAGCTATAATACCAGCTTCACCATTGTGCCTTTGATCCTGTGCTTTATTCTCCGGGCAATCCTTCTTGAAGTGGCCAGGTTTCTTGCACATATAACACTCCCACTGACCCCTCTCTACCGGAGTCTTCTTGCCCTGCGCCAACTTAGATCTGTTCTTCGGTTTCTTGTCCCTGAAGTCTCTCTTCTCAAATCTGCCACTGACAATGAGTCCCTCTCCAGATTCATGAGCTTTCCCTTCAAGTTTCTTCTGCAATTCTTTAGCCTTGATTGCAGATTGCACCTCTTCCAGTGATATGGTTTGCTCCCTTCCATACACCAGTCCATCCTTGAAATTCTCATAAGACTTTGGAATAGCATTGAGTAGCATCAGAGCTTTATCCTCATCCTCAAGCTTCACCTCAATATTCTCAAGGTCATCCAGAATCTTGTTGAACTCATCTATCTGTTCCGACAGAGGCTTGTCATCACTCATCTTGAAGGAATACAGTCTCTGTTTCAAGTAGAGTCTGTTTGTGAGAGATTTGGTCATATACAGTTGTTCCAACTTCAACCAAACGCCTTGTGCAGTGGTCTCTCTAGCTACTTCCCTCAGAGCCTTATCACCAAGGCTCAAGATGATCGAGCTGTGAGCTCTATCCATCAAGTTATTCTTCTCCTTTTATGACAAGGAATCCGAAATCTCTTTGGCACCCTTCAAAGCATCTATCAACCCCTGCTGCACTAACATGGCTCTCATCTTCACCCTCCAAAGACCAAAATCACTAGATCCCGAGAACTTCTCCACCTCAAACTTGGTAGATCCCATACTGTGTGCTCAGATCTTCCCACAGACGGCACCAATTGTTGTGGATTCAGGTCCACAGACAATAACAAGCCACACAAATATGAAAATCAAACCAAGAAAGAACCCACAGATACCACTGTGTTGACTCAACCGACTGTAAACACCGTTGCAGATAACACAACTACAGTACCACAGATCTGAAACTGAAAGCTATAAAACAGATAAAGAACACAATATTTGAAGTGGTTCGACCTGTATTACCACAGGCCTACAACCATTGTGCAGAGAGAACAAAATCCACTAGATCAAGAAGGTTACAGATTACAAGATAGTGATTACACTCAAGCTCTCAACAGCTATTTCACCTAAGCTGTATAGACACTCCCCTGTGTATACCTCACTGTTTCTCTCTTGTTTCCCAACCCCAAATCTCACAAACCCTGTGAAGATTTCATTCTTGCTTTCCCTCTAGCTTCTTCTTTTGTTCTTGAGAGTTGCCTCTCTTTCCAGCCCCTCAAGCCTTATCCCCTTGATTGGCCTTAGCCTACAAGCCTCTCCACCAAGTGCTTTATATATGCAGAAAACCCTAGTAAAAAGCAAACTTGGTCCCCAAGCAAATGACTGTGAGCTCGACAGGTGTCCAACACTGTCAGAGTGGTCCTCATGGGTTCTGTCTTCTAGTGTAACAGCTCCTTACACTTTCCAGCTCATACTTTGACTTTTACTTTAACTGATGCACCAGATAAAGTATCCACTTGGCATGTACACGTGGATATGAGTCACAGAATAGCAGTTCCAATTTATATATAAGTAATTTTATAGTCAATGCACCCTTAAAAACAAGGGTGGGAATCATGATCAAAATGTAGGGGTGCCAATATGAAGCTATAAGCCTAGTGTATTCCCATGGACCACCGGTATAGAATGAAGTGGAAAGAGGAGGTGGTCGGACCATAGCTTCGGACATCGAAATAGAATTTGAAACAACACATTTGACTGATCCTTTAAAATTTAACATTAGATCAAACCAGTTTGATGACTCAGTGACATCACGCGCATAATCGAATAGAATTCTTAACTTTCTTGGACGGGGGATTCTTGCTGGAAGCTCGTTGGTACAACAATGGGGATTTACATCTAAAAGTGTTACGAGGTTTGGTAAGATTGCCCCACAAGGACCGCGGAGATTACTCCCCCCGACCCGGAGATGGTTTAGCTCTTGCATTTCCCATGTTTCTACTGGCAAATAGGACAAATCCTTACAAGAATTAATGATGCTTAAATGTTGAAGGATAATCAAGAACTGAAGGTTTTGAAGTTTTGATATTTATATTTCAGATTGGAGGTGTAAACCACAAATTTTCGAGTCTGCAAAATATAATAAAAATACGAGAGAGGAAAATAGGGAACAAATAATTTACAATCAAACGAAAGCGGATTACAATCTCCGTGAATTCCTCTGGTACTTTTTTTCTATTCTAGATTTGATTGAAGGGCTTAAAAGCTTGTTCTTGAATCATTCAAATATGTTATGAATTCGAGGCGGAGGCTCGAGACGTGAGCCTGAGGGCTCGATATGTGTCGTCGGATTACAATCTCCGTGAATTCCTCTGGTACTTTTTTTCTATTCTAGATTTGATTGAAGGGCTTAAAAGCTTGTTCTTGAATCATTCAAATATGTTATGAATTCGAGGCGGAGGCTCGAGACGTGAGCCTGAGGGCTCGATATGTGTCGTCGGATTTTTAGATGCACCGAAGCCGTCTTTTTATAGCCACGAGCTAGGGTTTCTTGACTTGTAGGATGGGCCGGTCATTTGTAAAGTCCAAATATATTATGGACTTTGACTGAGATTCAATTTAATAATCAATTGATTGGATTATTAATTGGTGATTTATTTCAAATTTCTATGTCTACAAATGCCCCCACTTCCAGTCTCAGCAAAGAACCATATCGAGTAAAAGTGAGACGAGACTTGAAGTACTTGAGTTTTTTTTTTTTTTTCAAGAACCTTTCTTTGTTGGCTCCAAAACCTGTTTCCTGCCTTTTTGTGGTGTATATGAAATTGCCATCACTTTTAGGGACTTAAATGAAAAGTCCACTTTTTGTTTATTAGATTTCTTTCTTTTCCACCTAGAGGAACCAATTGAAATTTAAGACTTCTTAACGATTGGGTCATTGCAATTCTTGCCACCGGGACTCCGTTGAGGGGTGTTTGGAGAACGACAACTTCTACATCACCAACGCACACCGGCCACATAATGAACATCGGCGTAGTGGAGGTGGAACGGGGCTAAGAGTAGCTTGGAGGCAGCGTATTCGAGGTTGCCGGGTAACGGCACGGCACCACTCTAAAGCCTGCGGCGAGCTCGAGGTGTCACTGGGATTTGATTACGCGTGCAACGACGCTAATAGGAGATTATAAAAAAAATATACATAAATAAATTGTGGTTGCTGTCGTGGACTATGCTTTCTCGTTGTTTTTAATTTTTTTCCTTTTTTTTTTCTTTTTTTTTGTTTTTTTAATAATTATTTAAATAGGGATGAGTAGCGTTTTTGTAATTTCAGAGCTTAGACCAAACGGTGTTAAGGTTAAATGACTGACAACTAACCGCTAGAGTCACATTGAGACAATTTTTCAAGTTCAAGGGGGCAAATCGATGCAACGGGAGTAGAAGGGAGTAAAATGATACAAAGCCAAAGTAAAGGGGAAAAGTAAAATTTGCCCTAAATTAAACGTACTCCTCCACTGATAAATAGTCGCATAAGATATTGTGAAACAAAAGATTTAGAGAAACAATGGAAAACGATTCAACCAATAATATATCATTAGTATTCATTATCTTTAATTTACCAGTTAGATGTGAGCTTGAGTTCGAGGTTATTGATTGTGAGGCTCTCTCGTTCCATCTTCTCCAAGAAACTCTCCATTTGTGCCTTGTAAAAGAACTCAACTTGTAGTTGAAGGGCCTCGTTCCCGCCATTTTCTCGTTCCTCCGCTATTTTCACTGCCGAAATAGCCGATGATTCGCTGCAGCTCTTCAAGCTAATAGCTCCGAGTGCTGGTATTTCTCCAATATCCAAAGGGATTTCCTCCAACTTCTCCATTTCTTCAAGAACAAGTTTCTCCAGAACCGGAAAGTGAGAGCTGTCTGCATTCCAGTTAACTAGATAAATACATTCTATAAACAGGAATTTCAGGCGAAGGAATTCTCCCTCAATAGGATTCCACACGTGTCCCGCGGTGTTTGGACTGAGTCGGAGTTTGAGGACCTCAAGATGTGGCAACGAGCCGATAGTTGTCAAATCTTCCCACTTGATCGTGCAACATCTTAAATATAACTTCTTCAGCGAACTCAAGAAAGTGAGATCCTGCAGTGCGTCATGCTCTCGAGGGTATTGGAACTTGAGTGATTCAAGTTTTTGTAAGCGGCAGCAGTTGTATAGGCAGTTGTCCTTGAACCTCTTCGCGAACTTATTATACTGTATGCTCAATGTCTTGACATTGAGGACTCTCTTACAAACTTCCACACTGTATCTCAAGTTATTTACCTTCTTGAGTGTTTGAAGATTATTTAGCAAAACAGAGTCGTCTTTTTGGTCACTCGGAGAAGGATCAGGAAGGACCAACCCCATGATATGCACATGCCTAAGTTGTCGCATCTCCCAAATTTCGGATGGTGCATCAGCGCCCCCTCTCAGCCCTTTAATATATAGGTTTTGCACATTCCATAGCATGGTTATTGAGCTAGGAATCTTGCCAAAAAGAAAGCGTTCATAGTCAAGATACCGTAAGTTAACTTGAGCGAAAGCATCTTGAATTAAGATTTTCTTGGTCGTCCAAAGTTTGCCAAACACAACAATAACTCTCAACATTCTAATGCTACGCGTAGGTATACCCCAAACTGTGAGTGTCACCAAAGTACGGTTATTCGTAATAGTGGGAGGCTCCATATCCACGCCTTGTGGAATGTCGTTCATCATACAAACAAACTTGTCCTTTTGAGATACCTTTAGACATAAGTCTCTCAAAAGATCATGGATCTTACAATATTGAATTTTTCCATTTGATCCCAAACTATGTTTTAAAATGAGATTCATGTCAATGAGATCGTTCAAGTAGCCTCGGGCAATCTCTTCCAAGCTTTGGGATTTATTTGGTTTTATAAATCCTTCAGCGACCCAAAGTTTGATCATATGAGAGTCACGAATGATATGATCTTCCGGAAAGATTCCCATGTAAAGAAAGCATGGTTTAAGATGAACAGGCAAGTGAGTGTAATGCCCAATCAATCCATACATGGCCATTAATAAGCATATTGCATCAATGAATATAATTAGAATTCATTATTCATGATGCATGATCGCAACTACTAGCTTCACATGTGGCTTAATTGTGTTTTAATACGTGATCGAATACTTTTCTTAAAATGTGCTAATACATGATACATGTTATTGAACTTCTACTTTATGATTTAACATGAACTTAAGTGATTTATTGTAGTGAGCATCTCAGTTTCTAGGTTAAGAAGGGATCAATGTGCTAAACGGTGATATATTTGTCTTAATTTCATATATGCATTTTAATTACATTTTAATATGATTAATTACATATATAATTACTTGAAGTAACTCATGTTAGACTGAAACCAAAAGTATGCAAAAGGGTGCAATTTGATTGGTTGGTTGACTAGGTTGCACAAGAGCATTCTGAAATTGTTTACACTTGATTATAATGAGTAAGCATCAGCCCATATCTTATCTCAAGCTAGAAAAACGTGGAGGAACCACAAGAATCCAGCAAATATAAGCCTTCCAATCAGCATCCTCCATTTGGCCTTGTTGGGAATGGGTAGATAAGTGAAGACTTTGTGTTTTGGTCTTCATTTCACTTGTCTTCTTCCAAAAAACGACCAGACCTATTTCCTTAAGCTTCTCTTCATATTTCTTCACTTCCATACTCACATAAGAGAACATCAAACATAAGAAGTCATAGAAGTAGAGCTAGAACAAGTTATGCACCTCTTCTAGCTGAAAATCCTACGTTTTGAAGTTTGAATTCATCTCTAATCAAGTCTTGTAGCACACCTTATCTAAGAACTGATCCTTTCACTTCATAAACCATATTGAACTTGAGGTAAGTTGAAGCTTTCATTTGCTCATCATAAGAACCTAATTATGTGTGCTTTAATGTGACTCTTGCTACGTGTTCTTCATGATGTTTGAATGATTGATGAATCATAGTGATATGAAAGAATATGTTTTGAAAATGGGAGTATGGTACTTGATTGATGGTCGGGTAGGCAAGGGACGCGGGAGGGACCGGCGGACCCAACACATGGTGGCAAATACCTGAGGTCGAAAGACCAGTATGGAAAACCCAAAATTAATGAAATAAAATACGGCTAATACCTGAGGTCGAAAGGCCGGTATGCAAACCCCGTATTATCTATTGGCCAAATATGTTGAACAGGTTCCGAAAACCACAGCCTATTGCTATCAGTCAACTACCACACTTCAAGGGTACCCGAAAAAGAGAAGGATTTCAAAGAAAAGGATCATGAATGAAGTTATATGTGATATTGTACATATTGAATGAATAATGTGTTATGTGATATATTGCTATTACATCCGTTCCAACTTGCTGAGCCATTAGCTCATTAGGTTCTTATGATGCAGGTAATGATGTACATGTTTAGAAGTTGACCTAACCAAGAGCGGCCGGACAGAGATTTGTTCATATGCCATGCTTCGAGCCATTTTTGTAGCCGAGCTAGAAACTCTGATTTCATTTTGTTAGCCGCTCCATTATGGTTTTTGTACAATGTAATTTTGTAAACAATAAATATATATATATATATATATATATATATATATATATATATATATATATATATATATATATATATATATATATATATATATATATATATATATATATATATATATATATATATATATATATATACAAATTTCGAGAAAGTACAAAGTTTGATTTCGTTTCAAAGCATATACCGTATTTTTGTATTAAAATCATAATGTTAAGTATATATATAAAAGGTTAGCATCCCTAACTTAATGGTGGTGATCCGATTGGATTCTGCTGTTAGGTTTTGGGGCGTTACACCCCTTTCCAATATTTTCTAGTTCAGGAGGGCAACCTAGTACTTGACCAAATGCATTCTCGCAAAATAGTTTCCAACTATGATCCTTGTCTAGAAAAGTCATCTCAAGGGACAGAGAGTTAAAATAACTAGCCACATTCGATATCCTTGTAGTTACAACAATTCGACTTCCATTGTCGTTGTTTGGAAAGAAACGTTTTACCGTTTCCTTCGACACTCCAAGTGTCGTCCATTACAATCAAATATCTCTGTCCCCACAGACTTTTGTACAACTGTTCACCAATTTGCTCGTTTGTTTCCTTATCCATTTCACTGCGCGATTTACTTTGGGAACAAAAAAGTTGTAATAAGAGAATTTCTCTCACATTATACATTTGGGATACTGTTGCCCAAGCACGAATATCGAAATATTGCATAATAAGTGAATGTTCGTAAGCATTTTTGGCCAGAGTAGTCTTACCAATACCGCCCATGCCTACAATTGGAATGATCTGCCGGTTGGATTGTTGACCGGTGAGCACGTCCAAAAGTTGAAGCAACTGTTCGTCAAATCCGACCATAGTATTCTTGTCGGTGGTAGTAAGAGGTGTTGATGAATTAGTTGTGGGCATCGAATACGCGGTGGGCTGCATAATACGATCATCTTTGAACTCCATAACCATTTTCTTGATCGAATCAATGTCTTCTATCACCGTGCTCAGGTCCAGCAAGGATACACAGCCATCGTGAATTTGGTCAACTACGTGAGATTCGATTACATCTTCAGCCGAATAGGCTGCAGCTGCAATCTGGCTCACCAGAACTTGTGCTTGTTTGGTTATAACTCCATGAGTATCATTCTCTATGAAATCTAACAAGAAACCAGCCTTGTCTCGAAGAGATTCGGTCTGGATCTCGTCGAGAGAAATCGAATGGCGGGGATGATTCTTGATGTGATCCATAGTATTCATGAGAGAAACTAGAGCTGCATAAGCTGCCATTGCTAATTTTCTTGTCTTCTTTTCAAGCACTGAAAAATGTTTTATGGAACAAGTATTGGTTACTTTCTTGTAATTAAGAGCATATGATTGAGATGAATGAATTTGAGGAAGAAGACAGCTATTGTTTTTTTTTTTTTTCTTGGAATAAATAATGGGTTGGGGGTTACAGCTCCCTAGCCGTTGACTTAATTTTGTGATAAATAGTTCAATTTTTAATCAACATTTAGCTGTCATTTATTTATTGGGTAAATTATAACCACCCCTTAGGTATGGTCAATTTACAAAAAAAACCCTCTTGTTTGGATAATTACATATACCTTCAAATTCAACATAATCATCTAGATTCCGTGGAATGTGCTCTAGGTTGTAATCGTTTTGTGTAAAAATGCAATTTCTGATGCACCACAATCTAATATATACAAGCCAAAAAACACATATTATGATTATCTTGCTTCAAAATGTGGCATTCGAATGGGATAAAACGGGTACAAAAGTGATAATAATCATATAATCTCGAAGATTCCACTAAATTTAAAACCGCAAGGGTGGACATGTAAAAAGATTTATAGTTTATGGGTAGTTATAATTATCCAAACAGTAGGGGATTTTTCGTAAATTGATCATAGCTCAGGAGGTTGGTTGTAATTTACCCTTTATTTATTTATTTATTGAAATTGTTGATTTTTGAACCAAGTGAAAAAAGAGGTTTTTCACTTTATGTACTAACATATTAAATGGCCTTTAAGGTTGTAGGATACTGGTTAAAAAAGTTGTTAAATTATGATTTGGGGATAAAATATCTTATTTTGACAAATTTGCCTATTTGCGTCTCTTCATTTTCTGAATAACGTTTCATTAATGTTGGGGTAAAGTTGCACAAAAAAAATTGTCCTACCTTTAAATTCTTAAGTAACACTTAATATGAAAAAAATATATGGTTAAAAAAACACGTAGCCTTTGATTGGTTCAAGGAAAATGATGAGTAAAATAGTGAAATTATTAGGTAAATTGATTTTCATGTTTGGTTGCTAGGTAAAATGCTAGGAAATGTAATTAAGAGGAAAAAGTGGAAAAAAAATTACACTAAAACTAGAAAAATGCATTTTCCTCAAAAAAAGTGAGGAAAATGCCATGTAATTTTTTCTCTCTCTCCTCTCTATCTCCTCTCTCTCCTTTCTCTCTCTCGAAGTCCACTCTATCTCTGCTCTCTCGTCTCTCTCCCTCTTTTCTTTCTTCTCTCCTCTTCCTCTTCTCTCACACACACATCATAACAATAAATTATTAAATTAGATTCATATTCACAGTTTTTGTTAACATAACAATTTTTCTTTTTCTTTTTTCTAACATAACAGTTTTTTTTTTTTTTTTTTAATACTTTTTACGTCTTTGATAGAAAATAAAATTACTCCATTTAATAATTCATTGTTATTTTCACCTTTTTTTCCTAGAAACCAAACAAACGTAAGGAACATAATTTTTCACAAAGCTATTTTCATCACCATTTTACTTAAGAACCAAATACAACTGGAATTTCAAAAGTGCTTGATTTTCTTTACCCGTACATTTTCATTTTTCTTATTTTGAAATACATGAACCAATCAGAGCCTTAATATGAAACGGAGCTACTATGCTCCTTGTGGACGGAATTATTTTTTTTCTAAAATAATTACTTAGAAGGCGGAACATTCATTCTTCGGAATTTTGAGTTTTGACACGGATCTCAAGCCAGCTGTGGGTTTTGAAAGGCCAACTTGCAGTTACAACCCTAAACAATTTCAACTCTTGCACTAAACCCCCTCTAGATAAAAAATGGGCCATTTGAGATACATTTCAAACATTAATTTAAGGGTAAATTACGAGAACCCCTGAGGTAAGGTCTAATTACAAAAATCCCCCTCATGTTTGAGTAATTACAAAAACTCACCTGCGGTATGTTGTCGTCTTACACAACCCCTATGTTGTTAGTTTTGACGGAATCTTTTTTGTTCCATGGATTTTTTCTCTGAAAATGTCATTTTTGCCCTTGGGGTAACTGTAAGCATATTAGTCACTTAGGGGTAAATTGTAATATATTTATATATTTAAAAACCTGTGGTTGTTTTTTATTTTAAAACTATAATGTATTTCTTCATTTTAGAATTATTAAAAATAGAATATATATATATATATATATATATATATATATATATATATATATATATAT